TGGGCGTGATGCAGATGGACTAGACATGCACTAGAGGATCTCTAGTGTCCGTGTTGCGATGTGGAGTAACACTTGGGGTAAAGACCCTGAGGTGTCATGGAGCAAATGTGCGGCTGGTGCCGGATCTCTCCGAGTGAAGACTCGTGAGGGATGGAGGGTAGATGGGGGCCAGTTACAAGCCGGGGCTCATAACCTATTGTCGTGATACGACAACTGGGCTGCGCGAGCGCGAACTGGCGAGTGGCACGCAGGCACGATCTAATACACACGGGGGATTAGTCTGAGTGCGAAGGGAAAGAGCACGCTGTATAGATCTAACCTAATACACACGGGGGATTAGCTATACAGGGCGTAAGCATAAGTGCATACTGCGCAAGGGCGACGAAGGGACTTACTCTGAGTGCAAAGAGAAAGAGCACGCAGAGTGGGGATGCGAGAGGAGTCCTTATATACTAAAAAGGAAGCAAAATTGAAAGTCCGCTAGAATGGGGAAGCCTGCCATAAAGAGGTTCGTGCGTGGGAGCACTACATATGATTGTCCAATCACTATCTACGTATTAGCAGCGCCTAATCTAATATGTCCACCTTAAGTCCATGCCGGGCGGAACGCCGAGCCAGAGCCACTAGGCGCTTCAACAGGGTAAGTTCCGCCGTAACTCTCCGCAGCGACAGATTATGGCACCCTGGAGTTCTGCGGGTGTTGCTTCAAGAAAAGCTATTCTGAGGCGGTTCTGGATGTTAGGATATTAAAGTCATCCATTCTGTTACTGAGTGATGCGCACCCCAAAGCTGCTGCCAGTTTGCAAGGAGCAGATCATGGCTGTGGTGAGCACTTTGCTGGGGAAGCTTGCACGGTCAATATTGACATAATTGTGACTGTGCTTACTGTGCTTACTGATGGTAAGCTGCGCGCACGGGACCTCTACTGCAACGAAAACACTAAGTGAAATGGTTCCATATGAATCCTCTGCGGGACAGCTGCAGTACATACCCGGTTAGGTTCCTTATGCCACACAAATTTTGGGCCACGATGTAATACAATGTATAGTAGGTTGTTGCAATACTAAAGATGTCAAGACAGAAGAAGAGCTCGCACAGTCTAGAGCCATGCCAATCGCGCAGGCTCTACGTGGAACAAACCCCCAAAATTGTCAGTCCAGATACGCAGATTAACATTAGGTAACCATTCCTTCAGAATATACTCGCCGCACTCCTGCCGCGACGGCTCAATCAAAACTGGATTCTTGTACAGAGAGCATTGGATATTCAGACAGTGCAGAGATGAGAACTTGGGCTGTGCCAGCACGGCATCAAACAACGTGATTTGTGCAAACACGCTCCAGTCTACGGATGCTGGAGTGGAGTCAGAATGACCCCATGCTTCCCATAACAAATATGAAGCAAAGATTGTGAAGGGTGCTGGGAGGCAGACTGCGGACCAGATCCACGCATATGTTGATACAATGAATGCCCACCGATACTTTCAGGCTCTGGATTGCGAATGCATAAGGGAACAGAAGAGGTTCCGTATGGTCTGTTAGATAAACAGTACTATAGTACTGGCTGAAGCTCATATGACGCACCCTGTAGCCAGTCGACATTAAGCACAAGACAATGTGGATTATCTTGCCATGTATATGAAGTCTTGGATGGCACCTGTTGGTTGCACGATAGGCTTGATGTACATCCTACGCAGTGTCTGCAGTGCCAACATTTTGGACAACCAAAGCATCAAAGGCTTTGTGCAGGAATCCACAAAGCCATCCATAAAGTCAATTGTGGAGAGACAAATCGCTGAAAGCTCTGTGTCATTGTGGCTTTGTGCAAGATCAGTATTATTGAATTCAGGGCAGTAAAGAGCCAAATTGCTGAGCCAGGGCAGCGCCATGATGAGGCGGCCAAAATGTAAGAAGTCTTTGAACTTGCTGTGATACAAGCACAGAGCTTTTATGGTGTGGCTGACCAATGATAGTGATGTGTAGAACGATGGATAAATCAGTAGGGGCGCGCGGATGGACAGACTTCGTATGTCAGAAAGTATGGGAAAGAGGTGTTTTGCGATGGGTCCCGTCGGGTTAGTGGAGGCGTAAAAGTCAAGTAATAGCTCTCTGACAAATCCAGGACTGTCTGTGTCATTCCGCAAGGCACGAGCTAGCAGCTTTGCGTCATGGAAACTCTTCAAGTAGACACGCCTGAAAAGACAGAATCGACTGGGACAAAGGAAGGCTTTACAGGTTGCTGCACAGGCTTTCAGTGTGCTGAAATCATGGATCCAATCGATGACGAGGTTCCAAACATCCATAGGGAGGTCTGCAACGGAGCTGTTGGACCGAACTGGCTGCTGCCCGGCATCCATCGAGATTGCAATCAGTCTTAGATAACGAAGTACCGCCTTATAAATCAGATGTTAGCGACATGGCTCTGTCGCTGTAAGATACGCACTGCAAAACTTACCAGTCCGCAGGGAAACAAGTTGCCGCGATGAACATTGGGCAACCTTGCAAGGGAACGAACACGGGGTGATAAGCGCAGTTTCTTACGAGAGAAAACCTGGACAAAAGCGGCTAAATAAGGCTCAACTTTTCCTTGATTTTACGCTGACGCAAACTGAGGGGAAACCAGTGCAAAACCAGCTAAAAGGGTAGTAAAACTGGTGGAAATTAAGTCTTGTCTTCGGTGTTTTCAAGTGAAACTGGAGAAAGTTGGGGCCCTTTTCAATCAGTCTTTGGCCAATTTTGCGCCGGAAAAAAATGCGCTTACCAGTGGAACCGGGAGGCGCCCGCCGCGGTGACAAATCAAATTTAAGAAGTGTCACTGATAATAAATAATAGGCTGCACGTTATTGCGACTTTCTCGCTCTAACTTGCCCTCTTTACTATCCCCTCCGGTCTGCAGCGCAAATTAAACCAGACTCCTCATCAATGTTCCTTTCAGCGTCCAGTGGACACTGGACAGCCCGTTACGTCTATGGGATCCGACAACTCTGATGATCACGGCGAAGCGCGAGGCCGTTGAGGCTGTGATACAAGTGCAGTACTTAGTCTGCGCCCGAGCACACTTTGTCCACATGCCTACAACTCATCCTATTTGCCACCTTCTATCTCCTCTGGCCTTGGAAACGTACGCATCTCAGCTCGTGCACCACTTGAGTGCACCAAAAGCACCATGGCACATTCTGGCGAGTAAGTACCCCGCATCGTTCTCTCGACTGTCGTGCTGAATTGTCTTTCAGGCCTTGGTATCTGACTAGTACGTTCATCTCTTTTCGGTAAACGAGCACTTGTGACTGACAGCGATGCACCAGTCGTACGGATGCAGGGCATCCCGTTCGCTCGTCAAGACAAGTCATGGCGTCCCCGAGTTACAGTCTCGGTTGTCGGAATGGCCCATAGTCACAGCACAGACCTCGGCTGTGATGGGCAGAACCCAAATCTGAAGTTGCCTCTCGTCTTGTGTGTTCGGCTGTTCACAACAGTCTACGCGTAGGCTAACAAGTGGCATAGGTACGATGTAGACCGTCATTCCAAGCTTGATATCAAAGTCTGGCATCATGCGCGCACCAAAAAGAAGGGTCGCAAACCTCATCTCATTGGTTCTGCGTATGTTACGCTCTGCGAGTTGTCACGTATGCAAAAACACTCTGAAGCAGGTGAGCCGCTTGCCACGTGTCCTGTCGTACTCCACTGACATCGGACTGCAGATGTCGGAATAAGTCTCAGGTGCCCACCACCACAGAAGCGCAATCCATCTATTAAGGCACGTCAAGCGAACAGCGCGACGTTAATTGCCCGGTTACGCCCACCACCATTGTCCCCTTCACTCACTTCGGAGACGACGCTGGTTGCATATGAAGACGACTCTGTGTGCGATGAGGAAGGTTTTGAGGAAGAGCTTTTGTCGGACGCAAGCCGGAACAGTGAGTCAGGCACCCTATCTGTAGTGCTCGTGTTCTCATCCCTCCACTACAGCTACACCGGCTCCATGCACGGATAAATCTCCTGTCGATATCCCGGACATTCTTCCTGATACTAGCGCATCGGGTCTGAAGAAGCGGCGCAAGCGAACAAAGTTGAAGCCTTACTCTCTCGACTCAGACGACGAAGCTAGTTGTTATTCAAGCAGCGAGTCATCCAGACCAGCTACGCCTCCCCCCCACCAGGAGCAGTACTATTCATATTACGCTGAGACCGGTCTTGAAACGGAATACCAGGCTGAGATGACTTTCGGGGACGATCTGGACAGTTATTGCCCGGCAATCCTTCCCCAACACATTGGTGAATCGCCAGAGGAGCAGCGGCCGTTGTCTCTCATAAAGCTCATGGTGGACATGTTTGCACCGTTTCGCGAAATGTCGGGTCCTGGATGTGACTTCGCTAGCGTTCTCGGGCGACTAACGACAGAGTGGTATGCCGTCGGGGGTTGCCTGCTGGCGATGGCTGCGTAAGTTTTAACCTAACTACTGCTCCGCTTTATCGCTCAATTGGCGTAATTTGTAGATTGAACGCTGCGGTCTTTGGATATTCGACGCCGACGCTCATTGATATCGATAGCATTGCACTGAAAGCAGTTATTCGTGGGGGCTATTGCATCTGGTGTTGGCCTCGTGGTGGACGTCTGGTTCTTAGTGGTCTACAACGGCTCTGATGCTACAAAATTCCAGGTACGTACCGTCTCCATGTCTCATCCAGAGGACTGGCTGACAAATGCACTCAGCGTTCTGCGCAAGACGTGTACGGCACATATTTTTTCTTCTGCCTCACCTGCAGGTTCCCAACACTCTGTCTACTTGTTGCCGTTTGCGCGCTGCTCGCATTTCTGCTTGCCGTCGCATGGGGTGCATGGAGCGTCGCCGTGCTTGTCATGTGTTGCGCCGCGGGCGTGCTACTCACGCTCCAGTACCTCGTTTACGGTGCGCACCGCACCGTCAACTTTTTCGTCTGGCTCGTCTGGCGCGCCGGACGAGCTTGTGACGGATTATTCCGCGCCACACCGCCGGCAGGGTCGAACCAGGCGCTGCCGGGACAGACAGCGGCACAAGTGACCCCACCTGGGGTAACTCGACAAACGTAAGAGAGGATGCTCCAGGTTCATGCTTCGATTTTTCGCATCATGCCTCGTAACAAGTATACCCCTTCATGATCGCAATATACCACAAGAAAAAAGGGCATCCCCTTAGCTATGTATACCCACTGCCTACGACCAGATCGGATAAAGGAACTTGCATTAATAATGTGCTGAGCATCTTCAATAAACAGCAAAGCTGCAGGTGGTTATAAGTTGTCCCTATCGTCAAACGAGAGTCGACATGCGACGAAAGCGAGATTGGAAGTACACACTGTGAAGGGACAAATGTAAAGCGTGGGAATTAGCGCTTAATGATGCGCTTGCGTCATGCAAGCTGCTCTAGCTGTGGTCTTAACTTGCCCGTTACTATATTCCGTACGCGTGCTATTCAGCTTTGGAGGTAGGTGACATCAAGCAGCTGAAATTTAGCTCATTTCACAGTCAGCTTTAGCCCTTGCCGCCGTTCTACATCACACGTCGAAGCAGATCACCATCTCTCTGCCGTTCAAGCAGTTGCCCGCCCTTGGTTTCTACAATGGTTGCTGTTGAGCACGTAGAGAACAGCCAAGGACTTTCCCCACTATCCTATGATGGACTCCAAAAGTTCGTTCCACTGGAAATTTGGGACCTCGTAGTCGACGCAACTGCGGACGATTTGTCTACTTTGAAGGCGTGCGCAACCACTTGCCGAGCCTTCCTTCGTCGTAGTCGCTACCACCTGTTCAGACGCGTCACCGTACGGACAGGCAAATTCGCCGAAATCCTAATCTCCACCCTCCAACGTGACCCGGACATCCGCAGTGCTGTCAGGGAGCTCCAGCTGGACTCGTCAAATCCAGTGCCAGACTGGGTGATTCAGACCGTGCGGGCACTACTTCCGATGCTCTTCAACTTGAGGAAGCTACTCCTGCGTTCCATGCAGCTCTCTCACCCGGCCTTACCAGAACTGCTCTCCATAGCTCGACATACCGTTACCAGCCTCGACCTGACCCTCTGCAAATTCGACAGCTTTGCGGCATTTATACGCCTGGTTCTCGCATTACCGTGCATTACGGATCTCGCACTCAACTTCATCTCCTTCGGCGTGGCGCAACCGATCGTGGTTGCGGACGCTGATCTGCAGCTTCTCGGCATGTCCGGGATCATGCTTTCGACACTGCGCCTCCGGTGCCATCCTTTGGGGCCTTGGATGGGGGCCTTGCTGCGCTGGTTGCGCAACACACCAACACTCGCATCCTTGCGTAAACTCCACCTGCGTACAGCCATGTGTGAAACTGCTCACGATATTCAAACCTTGACGTGCTTCGCCAAGGATAGTGCTTTGGATACGCTTGTATTAGATTGTGGAGGTACCATTTCTCTCGGCGGGGGTGTGTAGCTTCTTAGCTCTTTGACGGTCTGTAACTCACGATGTCGATCAATCCCAGCAGACATTTTCTTAGCAGGGGTCTCGCTCAAAAAGCTGCGCATCATCGCGTCTCGGTTTAGCTTGAGCATCGTCGGCCTGCTATCCACCATCGCTCATGACTGTTTGAGCGATCTATCCCTCATCTTCTCCACCTCCGATGCGACGGACACGGACTGGACCAAGTTCGCACGCATAGCAACGCTTGACGCCGTTCTTTCTAGCTCCCGGTTCGCATCTCTCAAGCGGTTCAACGTCCAATGTCAGGTCTACAAGGAGGACAAACACGCCATGGAGTCTCTCGAGTGTCGTGATCGCGTCTTCCGAGACTGGCTCCCGAATGTTAATCCGAAGTTATGGATAGACGACTTTGCTGACACATTCGATATTTAGTTCTTGTGCGGTTCCGTCTCGGACTACATGTACTGCATCTTTCTCATCGTATTTCTTGAGGATGCCGATGCCTGGGCCAATTGCATGTCGGGCGATTGCCACGAGACTCTGTTTTGTGACTATACCCTCGCTCTTAGGTTCTGCCCCGCTCTCTTGGAAGCAATCTCTTTGCCCCAGCTCCATCAGACCGTCAGAGTGCCACCAAGGCATGGGCGGACCGACTGGGGCTAACTCGACTTCCACACTACACGTCGGCGCCAAAAGTCCCTAGAGAGAACCCAGACGTACAATGTGAGAGTAGAAAGTGATCTGTTCAGTCAGAACCATGATGCTTTGATGTCTGTGGATGCTAAGTCTCGAATGTTGGATGCTTTGTTACTTTGGCAGATCGCCAAACGTTGCTTTTTTGGGGCCTAATAGCATGTCCAGCCATGCAGTGACATGACAAACTGACGCTGCTTGGATCAGTAAATCAACGAAGAGAATTCGCGCCTTGGCCGGCCAATCGCGCCGCATGAATATCACTGTGATAGCTGTGTTCTGCTTGACAATTAGCCTGAAGTTGTGCATTGACTCAGCACGTTGTCGCTGTTGCGCCGCGTAGCCAGGGTCGGCACTGCAGACATATCTACTGCAGCGTGCTGAGCGCCACAGCCTTTATCCTCCTGGCGCTGGATACATTATAGAAGGAATATCTTAAGAGAACGCAGTCGTCGCAGGGTGCTGCACTGCGACTCAGGCGAGGCGCATCAATTATTGCCGCGCTCTGCAAGAACTTAGGGCGAAGCCACCATAATCAACAATATTTCGCAGAATCTAGCCAGCTAATATTCTCAATTTGATTTACATTCTCAGACAGTACCAACTCAAACGACAGTGTAATTGTCGACAACGAGGCTCGCATCCTCCGAGAAGGTGACCTCCTCTCCGCCATCGACCTTGGTGGCAGACGCGAGGCGGACACCGGCAATACTACCCTGTGCAACAAATGAGACTCGGACGGGGAAGAACGCGCCAGCGTCGTCGCCGCCGACAGTAAATTCGAGCGTGCCGGAACTCTGCTCCGGGTCGACGCGACCCACGATCCAGTCGATGGCGTGGCTCGTCGAGTTCAGTGCCCATTCACCGGTATGCGAGGACACGGTAGGGTAAGAGCCGTCGCTAATCAGATCAAGATGGGTCAATATCCTTATTGCACTTCTGCTCAAGACTCACGGAAGTGGGATCGAAATGACGACGTCATGCAGAATAAGACCGCTGTTTTCCAACTCGTACTCGATATTGACGTCGCAAGTGCCGTCGTTCGAGGGGGTTGGCCAGCAGTTGACTGAGGCATGTTTAGGATGATAAAAACCTGTGAACCGGAAGGACGTACTGGACAATGGGACGTAGCTCTCATCTTTACCGGCGTATCGCCACTTGAGTACGGCGAGCGACTGACCAACGGGGAACGATCGCGAGGAGTCCTTCAAGGCAATCACGCGTTCCTTGTTCGCAGCAAACTTGCCAATATATGGGTGCTGCTTGTACTGTAGTTCAGGACCGAAGGCCGTCGCAGGCTCGGCAAGCGTGAGTCTAAGCTTGGCAAGGGCCGCGTCCGAAATCTGCAAGTTCATATCTCCTTTGAGCTCCAGATTGTTGAGGCCACCTTCCCGAACAAGTTCGAGTGAGAGGTTCTCGCGAGTGACAACGTGCACACTGGAGGAAATACATGAGGTTTAGGCCACCAGGACATGGTATATGCACACCTTTCCGGCTCAACAGTTGGTAAGCTTCCCCTCTCGTCTTTAGGTTGAGAAGCCGGCTCTTGCGGCGCAGGCGAAGCAGGGGCGGACATGTCCTCGGAAAGCAGCGCCTCGCCACCAAGTGCATCTAGGAGCTGCGATTGCGTGGTCTTTTTGCTGCCGAGCTTCATACCGCTGCCCTTGAACGCAGGTGTGCGCAGAGTTGAAGGTACTGGAGATGCCGTGCGCACCGGTGTGGGGGCATCGTAGCGTTGAGGTACCGGCGCGTAACCAGAGACGCCGCCGCCAAGGTAGCTGCCCCCCGAGGGACCACCCGCTGCCGCACGTCGTTGTTGTTCCCGTCGCTGCATCTCTAGTTGCTTTGCCCGACGCTTGAGTTCCTCCTTTGCCTCCGCTTCTTTGTTCTGCGTTCCAGCTCAATAAGTCGCGGCGAATCCAAGAGACAGCGTATGGTACGCACCCTTGCGATGATATCCTGAATCTTTTCCTCGTGGCTCTCCATCTCCAAAATATTCCTAACCTGCATAAGGTTCACTGACTCCCTGTACCCAACGCTTACAATCTCGTCGAATGCCTCAAGGATCTCGAACGCGTTTTTGATGATCTCACGTTGGTCTGCGCTGCGACACATATCAGAGACGACGCGCGCAAAGAGGTGCAGAGTCTCAATGTCTTGCAGAATGTTCGACGCTTTGTTCGTGATCAACAGGATGTAGAGGTCTTCTAGAGGTTGATACACATAGCGGACGTCCGCAGTCTCGACGGATGTGTGCTGAGTATTGGTCGGGATAACCTTTGGAAAGGAGGCAAGCAGGGAATCTATGCGGGCTCTAGACATGTCTCTGAATTGGCGAGATATGACGGCTAGATTGTACTTTCAGTTGGAAGTGCAGCAAAATGTGGAGGGATTGAAGTAACCTTTGCCGGCCTTCGTGCATATTGACGCGGCTAGCACGACCTATAACTTGATTTAGCCCATCCGGTTCCATTCTAGCACTCACGTAGGACATACCATAAGTTATAAGTTGTTGCTTCACAGTTTGTGAATGGTATACGGGTAAAGCACCAGAAAGTCGAAAGCGTAGCTGCGAGACGTGTCCGTACTACCCTTTTCGGGAACCATCACGGTGCCCACGTGGCTGAACTCAGTAGTTATTCCAGGCTGTCGCGGGCTGCGAGGGTCACTCGTAAAGCAAAAAAAAAACCGGCGGAGAAGAGAGGAAAGATGCAAATATATTGGGCTAAACTCCGATTTGCGGTGCCGACTCTACTAGGCCAAGATTCCGCGAGATCTGATGCGTTCTCCAACAAGCAAGTACTGGTGTCTCGAGGAAGTACAGGTAAGTCTTGATACCGCAAGTCTTGAGCTCGAGGCAAGAAGAAGTAGACGAAAGCCAGTTATGATATGCGCTAAATCGTACTTCGCACAGCTAAAGAGGGTCTTGGAGAATGTACATCGCACCGACCGCAGGAAGCGACTACCACTGCATCATCTCAGGAGCACATATTTTCATGTGATTATAGCACGCTCACAGAGCCATAAAAGGGGGCAGATTGAAAGATAATATTTGGATTTAGTTAGCAGCAGCTATCAATTATCCAATTTCAGAGCTCATTCTTCAACCCAGGCAGGCTTGAACCTTAACCCTAAATTGATCCGCCCCGATCTTCACAACCACACGTGGTGGCGTCCCGACGCTTTGATGGCGGGAAGCCCAAATTTTGGTAAGCGCTTGCATTTCTCGCGCTCCTCCACCGGCCTGCTACTCTTTTTCGACATTCTCGATATCCTGGACGATGGCGCGGGCAAAAAACGCACCAAAACATGCCAAATCGTCTTCGAATAAGACATCTAATGTTGCAGGATACGCAAAGCGGAAATCGCTGAAGGGCAAGACACTGGCGGAAGCTGCAGACGTTTACGAGTACCAGCCAGAGAAAGTGCGACGGGCGAAGGTCAAGCTCCTACTTGAGAAAGGAGAGCTGCAAGGTGGCGGTAATGATGATGGCGATGGAGAGGGGAGCGTGTCGACACAAGTCCGTCCAAGGCTTGTGGGAGAAGACAATGAAGACGACCGTATTGGCTCCGATGAAGACGAGGAGATCGACAGCGATGCTGCATTTGACCAGAGCGACGAAGAGCAATTTGCGGGGCTTAACTTCTCGCGAAGCAAGGTGTGTACACAATTGTATCTACAGGAAGCGGCATCTATAACTTCAGTACAGAAGTCACAGTCGACGAAGCCGTTAAGAACCGTCAAGCCATCGAAAGCTAAGGGGGTCCGTTTTGCAGAGGTTGACCTCAACGAGGAAATTGATGTGGAGGAACCAGGGCCTGCTTTTGATGGCGATGTTTCCGGAGAGGACGTCGGGCAGTCCGAGGAGGAAGAGGAAGAGGAAGGCGACCCAGATGAGTTCATTGATGTCCTCGACATCCTGGACGGCAGAGGAGAAGCGGATGTTCCGAATGACATAGGCGAGGTGGAGAGGGAAGAGAAAGATGACCGTGTACGACGTGAGGACGAGGAGAGCGAAGAGGAGGGAGAGAAGGGCAGTGAAGAAGAGGATGAAGACGAAGATGAGGGGCCATCTGTCGGTATCGATCTCAATGAGTTCTCGGATGACGAAGACGAAGCCGATCCCTCTGCTTTGGACCACTTGGGAAGCTTCATAACTAACCTCGATGCCGGTACAAAGCGCAAGGCACCAGAAGATGCAGATGTTGCTGAAATAGCTGCTGATGACAAGCGAAAGCGGAGACGGCGCGTGCTGAAAGAGCAGACACAAGCAGGTGTCGAGAGCGAGTTCGCTGCACAGGCAGGTGCGTTCTTTTGGTATCGCTGTGACAAACGACGTTCTCAAACCAGAAATTAGGTGCAAGCAAGCTTAGTCTAGACGAGTTGCTTGCCCCGTTGGACTCATCTTCGTCAAGTCTCCAGTCGTTGAAGAAGTCTGCAAAGGTCCTAGCTTCTTCATCGTCCAAAGCGAAGATTCTGTCGGCACCACTCCCTCAGCGAGCGCAAGAACGCCTCGACCGTGAAGCCGCATATGAGCAGACTAAGGAAGAGATTGATAAATGGGGTGCTACGATGAAACGCATAAAAGAGGCCGAGCACCTCAGCTTCCCTTTGCAGGCCGAGTCTTCTGGGAAAGCTTCTAATCTCGAGCTGGCGGCCAAGTTCAAGGTAAATTTCCTCTTTACCTGTCGATATGTTGCCTAACACGTCTATTAGCCAACTACCGAGCTGGAGAGCGCTGTTGATAGGCTTTTGAAGTCTGCCAAAATGCGAGAGCAGGACATTGCACAGACCGAGGCGCTGAAGATGAACCACCTCTCCATCGAGGAAGTTGCCGAACGTCGTGCAGAGCTTGCAAAGATGCGCGAGCTCATGTTTCGCGCAGAGGCAAAGGCAAAGCGCATTGCTAAGATCAAGAGCAAGACGTATCGGCGGCTCAAGAAAAAAGATAGGGCAAAGCTGGCCGCGAAGCTTGGTGAGCTTGAAGACGGGGATGAAGACGATGAGGAGGCGCGCCTGAAGCGCGAGATCGAGCGGGCACGCGAGCGCGTGACTCTGCGCCATAAGAACACAGGCAAGTGGGCGAAGGCGATGAAGACTCGCGGCGAGCTTGATGAGGATCAGCGTCACGACATAAACGAGATGTTGGACCGTGGCGAGAAGCTTCGAAGGCGGATACAGGGGCGCGGCAGCGACGAGAGCGATGACGACGACGAAAGCGACGACGATACCGACATCGAGGGGGAGGACGGCACCGCACGCATTAAGGCGAGTGCGTTTGATGAGGTCCACCAACTGAATCGGATGGGCGAGGATACTCTGGAATCCCAGGACAAGAAGGGCAAGAGCGTGTTCGAGATGAAATTCATGAAGGATGCAATGGCGCGGGACAAGTTGCGAGTAGACCAGATCGCAGACGACTTCATCCGCGAGCTCGGAGGCCGGATACCTAACGAGGATGAGGTAGACGGTGAAGATAGACCTCATCCGCCTGAAGCTTCTACTCAGCGTATGGGCGGCCGCATGTCTTTTCAGCCGGGTAACGTGGTATGTGCTCTGAAATGATCTCTCTGACAAGCCTTAAACTGAGACATGCATCCAGTCTGAGCTCTCTCGAGCCCTGCCCTCATTAGCTTCCGATACTTCCAGTGTCACGCTGAAGTCCACGGATATTGCAGGCGACGGACGAGCTGACTCGCCAATTGTAGTCTCCCCCACCTCTCCTGCTACCGAGCGACCGGCTGCACTCAAGAAGCTTGAGAACCCGTGGCTGGTTACACGCGAAGACCGCGCCAGCCGCGCGGGTCAGAGAAAGCATGAGGTTGCTGTCAGCAAAGGCAGCGCGAGCGCGGAAAAGTCGAAGGTCAAGCTACGCAAGCGGGTCAAGAAGCGCGAGGATGAGAAGGAAAAGGCCAAGGAGGAGGCGGCCGTCGAGATATCCGCAACAGATGTCATAACGCTTGGTGTGGCCTCGAATGTCGAAGCCGGGTCTTCGAGGCCACAGACGAAGGGCGAACAGTCACGGCACAAAACCGACACTCGCGCGCAGATCAGCGGGGCCGACCACAATGGCGACAGCGATGACGAGGCGCACAGTGAGATCGAAGAGCAAGAGCGGTTAGAGGCAAAAGGCAAGGGTCACGCAAGTGGCGTGAAGGCATTCGAGCAACGGGAGCTGGTCGCTCGTGCCTTCGCAGGCGACAATGTTATCCAGGAGTTTACGGAGGTTAAGCGACGGGAAATTCAGGAAGACGCGCCCAAGGAGGTCGACATAACGCTTCCCGGCTGGGTGAGTAATCACGCGACGTTATTCGCCTCTGCCGCTAATTACAGAATCAAAAGGGTTCTTGGGGCGGGCAGGGCACAAAGAAGGCCCCGCCAAAACCTTACCTCGTCAAGAAAATCGTAGGCGTAGACCCGACAACGCGTGCGGACTACAAGAAGGCGCACGTCATCATCTCAGAGAAGCGCGACAAGAAAGCATCCAAGTATCTCATCAAGGATCTACCGTTTCCATACACGAGCAAGGCACAGTTTGAGCGAAACATGGATACGCCCATCGGTACGGAATGGAATACACGTGCTGGGTTCCAGCGCAGCACACTGCCGAAAGTTGTCAAAAAGATGGGCACGATCATTACGCCCTTGGAGAGACTCGCATGAATCCGTCCCTCTCACATGCTGTAATTCATACTTTGGTTTCGAACTCTCGTTTCCACAATAAATCACCCGTTTGCTCATGGTTTCCCGATCGCTCACTCGCTGCTGCAATGGACTACATTCACTGGTGGCGTCAAGACCTGCTGTTTCCTTGCTACTCTGGAAGAAGGTTCCTCCTCAATTCAGATTGGAGGGTGCGTTGCGCAGATTCTCGCTTGAGCTTTACGACAAGGTAAGCTCGATTTCAGCTTTAACGGTATCGGAAACCAGCCGCTCTCAGCCCAGCTCAGCAATATGATTACGAGCCGACACCGAACACCGTTAGGTCGTCTTCTTCTTCTTCCTCTGATTCCTGCCGCGCTTAATCTTGGGTATAGATGGACTAGTGGACGTGGATTCGACCTCGTAGACGTAGATAGCATCGCTGCGCTCTGAGTTGGGCGGGGTCAGAGCATCCGCCGCCGCCAGCTGAGCGAAAGCTTCCGCTTCCACCTTCGCTCGTGCTGTCGAGACCTTCGTTGGCCCGTTCCTGACGGCACGGCGTCAAGACACAGAAATAGGCGAGGACTATCTCAACGCACCTGATCGCATTGAAGCAACTACCCGACCCTCCTCAACGTAGCGGCATTGCCCTTCCTGGGTCTGGGGTTAAACCACGAGGGCTGATGGTCCAGCCCGAGATGCTCTGTCGCACGAGACAGTGCTTCAGGGAAGACGACCGAAAATCTCTCCAGTCCAGGGGAAAGAATGAGTTGATGAGTCCAATAGACAACCTGAGGTGTGTCGGGCATCGGTGGAGGCTATGTCAGGTATGTTCAGATCAAGGCCTGCCTCTCTGCCTTTGTCCCTAGCTGCTCCTCCATCTCTCTGGGTAACTGTGCCAGGATAAGCGTAGTGAAGCAGAGAGAACCGGTTGAGTGCGACTATGAAGGCATGGTTCACCATCGGGCGGTGAATCGAAAACGAAGGCAGCTTGCACATTCACTTGCTCAACGGCTTCTGCATTATAGTATACGGTGAGAAACTCGCCCAAATTTCTTGCGTGTGTGTAAAGCAAGGGTTCTCTCGGAGCTGCTTCGCACTGCCGTTATTAACAGTTTCTCACATCACATCAAATACACATTATAAACAAGTGAGAAACGTGTTTTTCACATGTTAATAACATAAAACTATGTTATAAACTCTAAATATGTGTTTACTAGTTCCAATTGATCACCGCAGAAGCATCTGAAGCTGCCTGCTCGGTTGAGGGCACTGTCCGTAGTACAAGGATACTGGTATGATTTAATATCACGTTGAGTTGACGGTATCCCTCATGTCTC